CTATCACACACACACACACACACACACACATATATATGTGTGTGTGTGTGTGTGTGTGTGTGTGTGTGTGTGTGTGATAGGCCTACAGCACTACATCAGTGGAAATTACAGAGTTTAATGTAGAGAGGCTCTTTAAGGTACTGAACGTAATGCGTAATTATTCCTTTGACTTAGCTCACTCTGAGGTGTGGGCAGACTCACATTGAAAGTAAAAAATCTCAAGCTTGCATTATTAGTTATTTCAGCGCTGGTGGTGTTGGTGGAGGTGGTGCTGCAGCTGCTGCTGCTGATGATGATGCTGCTGCTGATGATGATGGGAGGAAGAAGATGAGGAGGATGGGGAAGATGAGGAGGATGAAAGGAGGAGACAAAGACGAGAGGAGGAGGAGGATGAGTAGAGGGAATATGAGGAGGAGGAGGAGGAGGAAGGGGAGGAGGGTGAAGAGTAAGAAGATCAAGGCAGAATCTGTTTCAGCGGTGCACTGACTCTAGTGCGTGATAATCAAAGCTACACTTTTTGCACTTGCAGGAAAATACCAGCTATTGGAACAAAACGTGATGAAGATTTTTCTTCCCTCAACAAGCTTGATGGTGAGAATATTTATGTTTAAAGAGAAGAGGAACAATCAATCCAGCACACCGGTATAAAAACAAGAGCACTCTTATTGTAGCTAAAAACATATATGAGATGATATAATTAATTGAACCGTTTTATGAGAGAAATGTGGCTGTTCAAATAAAAGCATGTCGCAGAAATTGGTATTTGGCGCTTATTAACTGTTGCCAGGTACACTGTTCGCGTTCTTTACCATGTTCCAAATATTAGATGGCTGCCATCTTTATTTTATGTAATATGCTAGTTATTCTACTGTATATGGTTCTAATCTTCTGTAAGGTTTCTAGGGACAATTTAGTTTTTGAAAGTAAAGAATTTGAATAGTTCCCGCTGCTCATGGATATATAATGTGTCTTTCATTCCCACTTATCAGTTTTTTCTTTAACTTCATAACCTTAAAACTAAGAAGCCTGAACAGAGGCAGTATTACGGCAGCTCAAATCAGAAATTGAAATATTTTTCCAGTTTTCAGGGACATGACCGAAACCACGTGTGCGTTTTAGGTCATGATTGTAGTATCAGCTGATTTCTACACAGTGACAGATATGGGATATGTGCCAACGTAATGAAACGAAGTTTAGAGTAAAGTAAATTATTATGTTTTAATAGCTTGCCACACAGACGATATACCTGCACCTTCTACTGCCGTTGTCTGTTTTATGTCAAACTTGTTTCTTTGTGTGCAGTGGATATACTGAGAGGTATCCTACTACCAAGGATGTTGAAACAACCCAGTCCGAGGTCAAGTTCATACGCACGGTTCATTGATAATCTTCAGTCAGACTATGACTCCCCAAGGTAGGTTACTTGTGGATACGATTTCTATCTGAAGAATATTATTGTGCTTCTGGGCTTTTGTAAAGGCTTCTAAAGGTTTTGAAGCCGGAGCAATAATCCCCTGTTGTGAGTTAGCAGCTGAAAAGAAACACATTGTTAACGAAGTGCTAGTACATTTTTGATCCTGCAAAGATTCAAGATCATGTCATCTTGATGCTGACCAAGTTTACATACTATTTTTACAGAACCCCGTAAGCCTTGTACAAGTCCGACATCCACACGTGCCAAACATTTTCCGTTTGTAGTTATTTTTGTCTTTTAAATAGAAAAAGAACAACGAATATTTCTTTGAGTGAAACCTCTGATTCTTCTTAGCTAAAACACTTCGAGGAACCATTTTATTTGTGCAATATAGCAGTTACCAGCTATAACAACTGTCGTATTTCTTAAGGTACGTTTCCCTTACAAAAAGAAATCTAGAAAAACAGATCATAAATTAAATGTATACGAAACATAACATGCTGCTGGTGCTTTGTTCCTTGGGATTTACTGTTTGACAAAGGTCTGGGGTTGTTTTTTTCGGGGGGGGGGCTGCGCGTAAAACAATAATAATATATGAATACATCTGTTGCGACGTTCTCAATAAATGTACAAAATGTATACTTGGCCGTCCTAGCAGACCCTCAGCCAGTGCACCAATACTTCTATCATCCGAATTTTTGTTCAGACTTGTGTGTCTAATTGATGTGTATTTGTCTCTTCAGCTTGTTTGGCATGGACAAACGAAAACGCCAGGAAGCTGCGGAACAACCTTACTACCTTGACGCATCGACGGCTGAAGGTACGTGAGGAACTTCAGCACTGTCTTTGATTTAATCAAAGGCAACAAAACTTTATGTTCATAGATATAATTACTCACTCTTTATGTTTTAAATCTCCATCGGCACTATAATTTAGATCTTTAAGGAGGCGGGCTGCTTGGACCATGTCTCCAAGAAACAATCCTGGGCATCTGAGTTGAGAGATAAAATTATCTTTTGCGTGCAATGTATGATATAGATCTAGTACACTAAAACATGTCAATTAACTGAATAGGACGAGATCTCAAAATGTATTTTCGAGAAGATGAAGGCAGTTTGTGAAATCAATAACATATTATAACAGAAGAAAGCTTAAGAACAGAAGGTATTTAAAAACTAGGTCGGGTTTAGGGGATAGACTTTAATATTCTGAAAAAATACCAGTTCCTTTTAAAGAATACGATAAGGACACGAATTTATCGAGAATGAATTGTCAAAGTGTACATCTTGACGTCATTTGATATTAGAATGTCACTAAGATCTAAAAGTAAATTGAATGTAGGTGTCAAATCGCGTAGGGGCCTGGCGTACCTCACCGACTGATCGGGGGCAGAAGGGAACACGACGATACAAAACAAACATGCAAAGGTTCATTCAAGTCAAAGTCAAATGATGTAGAAATGTAAGAGATGTATCTTTAGTTACCACACAACGTACTGGAAGTAAAAGCATAACAAGTTGGTATCAAACTTGAATGACAGACATGTAATAGCCGAACCACCTTCTTTCAAAAGTGTGCTTGAGTTTTATTACTTTAAGGTGATTTACATCGGGAAAACAAAGAATTTTTAATATAATATATAAACATGTGTACGGATGCACAGAGCCTTCCACA